ACAGTCCCGCTGCAGTGGCAGGAGGAAAGGCAGAATACACGGGCACAACTGCAGAGAAGCAGATGGCTGCAGAGAGTTTAGAGAAGGTCTCGTTTAACTACTTTTATTTTTCAGTAAAACTGAAAATAAAGTCATCAGCCAAGAGTGAAAGGGAAAGGGTTTTGGAGATTTAAGATGAGAGGAAAACATGTGAATTAGCTGTCAGGGAGAGTAGGAGAGGGGATAAACCTAGGAAATCAGTGAAGACCCACTAGAGGAAGGGCTCATGAATTTTCCAGAGACTGGTTCACATGGCTGGACAGTCTTCTCCATGTACTCCCGGTGGATAAAGTGCTTGGGAAATAGATCCTGCTCCTGTCAGAGGCCTTGAGGGCCTTCATCGAAACAGCCCTTTGTTCCCTGCCCCTTGCTTTCTTTCCTTACCTTGCTTTGTTTTTCTTTATGACATTTCTCCCTACCTGTTTTGTTAGCTGGCTTGCTGTCCATCCTCTCAGAACAGTGCGGGGCACACCAGTAGGTGCAGAAGGGACAAAGTCTGAGGGTCCCTCTTCCTCCCTCACAGAAAGATCCCACCTATTCACACCCTGCAGCTCTGAACCAAGTTCTTCTGTTAGCTTCTGACGCTTCTCCACCTTGCTCTGTCCTGGGAAACCACAGGTTACAGCCGTGGGCCGCATGCTTTCTGGCTCAGGTTGGGGCCAGTGAGGCCCACTGGTGAGAGTCGACAGGCAGCAGAGCGAGGTCGTTGCACTTGTCCTCTCGGCTGGTCCCCAGTCACCTCAGACCGGTTGAATATGTCCACTGAAGGTCAAAACTGGCTGTCTTTTCTTCCCCTCCCCCTTCAGGATGAGGACTGGTGACACCTCCATTACTAGCCTCAGGCAGACTCTTCTTTATGGCTTCCTTACACCCTGCCCCAGATTATGTAAATGACCCTTTTATTAAATCCCCTGTGAATGATCCTAATTTGTGTGTACCATCTGTTTCCTGCTGAGACTGTGACAGAATCCCTATCTGTGAATAATGATTTTAATAACTCTCTGAATCCCATTAGTGCCTTGCTACTTAAATGTGGCCAGGAGCCAGGAACCAGGGGCCAGGGGCGCACCATCACCTGAGAACTGCTAAGAAATGCAGACTCCCAAGCCCCACCTCAGACCTACCGATTCAGGGTTAGCACTTTTGAAAGACCCCCTGGCAATTCCTATTCATGTTAACATCTCAGCAGTGTGGTATTAGCATATTTGGATTTTTACTGAAGCTCTTTCAGGTACAAAAAACCCCAAAATTCACTTAGACTAGCTCAGGCAATGGGGTCTTACACTCAGGCAGCAAAACAGACAGACTTGCATAGAAACCTAAGAACAGGGTCCAGAGAAGGTGAAGCCTCTGAGACAGGACCTATAGGTCAGTGTGGATCAGAAGGGCACTTCGGCAAGGGCAGCCTGCAGGTTTTGCTGCTCTGTCCTGGCTTCCCTTCTCTCCTGGTGTTTGCCTCATGTTCCAAAACCAGATGGATCCCCAACCATTTACTCTTGTATCTTTTTGCCAGAGTTCGTGTTCATTTATAGTTTTGCCTAAATCGTAAGCTGAGCGTTTTGCCCATCATAAGCTCCCTAGTCTGTTTCATAACCTTATTTGCTGATTACTGAAATTTCAGTTTCTGTAAGAACATTATTTGTGAACTCTGTCCCTGTTAGGGTAAAGCTTTTTCTACCAGCTTCTCCCACAGGCTAATGGCTAGCCTGCGGGGTAGATGCCAATTCCTGATTCAGCACGCACTGGGTAATGTGGTATAAAATCTGTCTGTCCTGGGCAGTCTGACCAGCAGAGGCTGTGGATGAAAATCACACTATGATTATACATCTTGAACGACATGAAGCAGCGTTTTCAAATCTTGGTTGCAGGCTATTTCCCCTTTACCTACACCGCCACCTCCCACACCCACTCTCCTCCTCACACTTCCCAGAAACATCTGCATCTCTGCCAGGTTCTGACAGTCATAGAGATGACTTTTTAAGTTCAGTGTATTTCAAATGTTGTATAACAAAATTAATTACATTTAATTAAACCTACCCATTTTTTATAGCCTCAAACAAATCTAAAATGCCATGCTAAGTTTATGAGATGGCAGTCCTCCAAAGGATTCTGCTGCTGAGGGGTATCTGCTATCAGACTTAAGCACTTTTAGGGATAATCTTACATGAGCAAGTCTGATGAATGGCTTCTCAGCCTCAGTATGGGGCAAGAATTAGTGTCTGGGTCCCAGGCCAAGTCACTACCTACACCCTCCCTCCTCTCAGCACTCAGCAACGGCTTTCCCACTCAGACAATAATCTTCCTTTTTCTGCCTGCTCTTTTCATGATATACTAAAATTATGAATTTGCTTCTGTCTTTCCCCTACTATATGGTAGCAGGGGAGGGAACTGTATTTCTCACAAATACAGAGCCTGGTATATGTTAGTTGCTGAATTTATTAACACTTATGGAATGAATGACTGCTCTTGGCTCATTGGTTATGTGTTTCTCTCACCTTTTTCTGTGTAAAACCCCCAAGTGTCAGTGGTTTTCTTGCATCCCAGAATTTAGAGGTGATTGTTGTGGCTATAGGTCTGTTTCATGTCTTCTTACCTTGTACCCAGACAGGAGGGTCATCTTTCTTGCCATGCTGGTCAAAATTAAGAAGGCAAGAGTGTAAGAGGGATGAGACAGCAATATACCCTAAGGCCTCTGCTCCTGACCATCTCGGTCACTACCACCACATTCCATGGGCTAACGTCCGTTCCGCGGCCAAGCCCAATATGAACAGGGCACATAATTCACACTTCCCAAAGGGAAGCAAGGGGCTGCATATTTGCTGAACGATGAGATAATACAATCTAATCTACCATGCACTGATACTGGAGTTTTCTATTAACACTATTCTGACATTTTAATTACTTTGCAAAATCAGCTAACTAAAATTCTCCTACAATGTATACATTAAGTCAGGATCCATTCAGTTGCAGGGACAAAATACAATTTAGAGCAGTCTTGGGGAAAAGAAACTTACTGCCCCATATGGGGAAGGACAAGCAGAGCCAGCTGAAGCTCAGGGGCTCAGGCAGTGCGGCCAGGGCCCCTTCCAGCTCTCACTCCATGCACCCCATGCTGGTTTTGATTTCCCCAAATCTCAGAGGCAGCTTCTGCTTGGCCAGAGAAAATGGCTGAGGCCCCAGAGCCACAGCCTTTCATTTTACTAATTCCCTGTGGGTAAAGAATTTTTCTTTCATATTCCACATTTTACTGTCAAGTGAGGAGTCTAATGGTCCCTCCCCAAGTATCAAAGCCACTGCTGGGCCAGTCAGGCCAGCCAGAGTAAGGCCATGCACCCAAACTTCCCAAGGCAAAAGCACAACCACCACCAGAACAGTAACAAATTTAGTCCACCGAAACATGTATTTGTTACCTGGGTTTTCTATCAGCACTATTCTGACATTTTAACTAGTTTTCAAATATCAGCCAAGTAGAATTCCCTGCAATGTATATATTAGGATCCATTCAGTTCCTGGGACAGAATATAACTCCAACTTATTTATGAAACAAAGGCCTTGCTATATATTTATTCAATGTTTACATATACGCACGAGCAATAAAACTGCATTGATTCCTTATTTGGGTTAGAAAAAACAAAATCTAAAACTACAGAGTGAATTCAATAGCATACCTTTGGTTGACATACTCCTGCATCTTTCTGTCCTTTGAAAATATTCAGGGCTAAGAGATCCTGAATCATAAACTTTAATTTTAGTATCTTCCCAGGGTGTTATACCCTGAATTTCTTTCCCATCTATTTCCCATTATATCCATATCCATCTCTCTATATCCTTCATAGCAGAGGTGAAGAGCAAGGTGCTTCCACATACCTTTAAAAACTGTCTTACTTCATTACTGTCCATCCATTAATTCAATAAGCATTTACTGAAAACCTATCTTATGGCAGGTGCTTGTGTTTGGCTCTGGAGATCCATGGGATGGATAAAACACAGCCCTTTTAATCTCAAGAAACTTGTCACATAACAGGCTTAACAGATGTCTGCAACACTGCATGATAAGCACCATAACAGAAGAGACAGCTGGGAAGAAACACAGTCAGATCAGTACTATGAAAAGAATTCTGATCAGTGTGAAAGGCTGGGCTAGAGAAATGTGAGGCTGGAAGCACAGTGAGCAGTTAGGAGATCACTGCAGTAATCTCATTACGTCATGATTAAAATCTGAACTCTGACTAAAAGCAGACGCTGCGAAGACAGAGAAGAAACAGTCATGAAGAGGAATCAAAAGCACCAAAAAAATGAGGGGTGGGAAAAAGAGGAGGCTGATAAGTCAAAAAGTTTCTCATTTTGATGACTGGATGATGCTGGTGTGGCTTGTATGGATAGAAAATACAAGAGGAGAAACTTTTCGGAAACAAATATGACCATATCCAGTTGGGATACTTTCTTCCTTGGATTCATGAGGGATTTGCACCAGTTACTGAAAATTATTTGTGTTTGTGCATGGAATGCGAAGTAGGAAGGGGAGCAAATAAGGAGAGGGTGACAAATTCATGATAAAATCAGTTGTTTCATGCTAAGGCCCAGATTTTCTTCTCTGGGAAGAATCTGAAAGTTATTTGTAACAAAAAAGAGGCTCTGTCTTGTTCTACTTTCTACTCACCGTCAGGAGCTAGCTCTGGGTAGGGATCTGCGGTCCCTGCTGAACAAGGCACTCGCAGACCTACAGCCTATTAGGTGCACAAAGAGACTAGGCTTTAGATAAAGTTTTCAGGGTCAGGACCTCTACAGATTTTTATAAATGGCTACCAAATATGCAAGTGTTGGTTATATGATATCTTTAGGAAGGCTAATGTAAGGATGTGAAAAATTCACTGTTTTAGGAATTGTCTAAACATTTTAATCTTAAAATCCATCCCATGAGAGTGATCTCATATCACTGGACACAATGAAAACATTAATAGTTTATGTTATAGGAAATATGTTTATTATTGATAGTTACAATTCAAAAATATTCTTCCTCAGGGCTGCATCATACTGTGTCTCTTTAGAAATTTTAAATATATCAAGATCAGAAGCAATTTTAACAATAATAGAAACTTCTGTACAGTATGCAAGATGGGCATTTTTCACAATGAAACAAGGTCTCTAGAACTTGCAGGTAAAACAAAGGAAGCATTTCCAATGACAAGATGTAGGAACCCATGGATAAAATCTAACAGAGCACATGCTGGACAACGGGATCAGGAAATTTAATAATCCACTCTCACTGTGAGTTCCCTCTGGCATGGCACAGGCAGGTCCTATAAAAAGGGTTTAGAGATGTGACCGCTTCTGTCTGGAGAGTAAGTCCTTTGGGCATGGGACTCATGTTACCTAAGTGCTCCAAAGCCAATTGTCTCTTCAACTTCTCATCCGCACATCATGACCAGAAGCTTCAAGGAGAAGACAAGAGTATTTAACTCTGACTTCTGAGCAGATGCAACACCAGCTGTTCATCCTCCGCTAAGGACAGGCCTGTATCCAAAGGCTCTACGGTTTCCCACTTGGCCTTCTTTCTATTACGACTTGTGCGTCCCACGTCTTCCACTTCACTGTTGTTCCTTTTCCTCATTCCCTGCTTCTTCTTGGTATCACTGGTGGGAACAAATCCAATGATTTAGTTTATGAATAAATAATTAAATCCATTATTATGAAATCAAACAATTAAAATAGGACAATAACAGATAGTTGGTAAAGTGGTATTATTCCAGAGGGAAAGAAATTATAACATCAGGATTTCGGGTTTTTAAGTACTGGAGAGAGAGGGCCTGTTTGCACTGGGCACGTACAGAGCACTGCACACCCTTATCCAATCCTCACAACAATTCTAGGGAGCCACATATATAGTATCCATAATCTGAGGACACTGGCCCATAGCCTGGCTCCAGACTGGTTCCAATCTGTGCTTGTCATGCCACATCAAACCATCTCTACTTAAAGTTAGGTTATCCTTTGGGTAGCAGTCGGTAGGCTAACAGATAGCAGGATACTGCTTCTAATATTCATTGCATTAGTTACAATACATAGATCATGAATAAAACAGCACCTGAAATGTTAAATTATAAGTTACTTCAGATGTTACATAAATTTTTCATTTAAAATCTGTATCTAACACCCATATATAGTCTTAAGAAAACGTAAACATTTTATAGTATGCTGCACATACCTGAGGCATAAACCATAATAATAAAGCTAACTTCTAAAAGTACAGAAAGTCACCTAATATATTAAAAAAGAAGAAAGAGCAAAATATCTTCAAAGCATCTGAGACACCATCATGTTCAAAGATGACCCAATTATTGGACACAAGATTAAAACAAAATTTAAAAAGCCATGCTAAATGCAATGGCAGTAGCAAGCATATATTAAGGATTACTAAGGATCTGGCACTGTTTTACATGCTTTATACTGATTACATCACTTACTTCATGAAATCCTTGGTGTGGAGAGCATTAGCCTCATTCTAACATGAGGTTAAGAGAGGTTAAATGACTAAATCCAGATTAGACACATGGGATTCAAACCCAGATCTGAATGACTCTAAACTGACCCAAAGCCAGGCTACTGGAAGCAATCTGAGTTGACACCCTTCACGCCCTTCAGTCAACATTTGGATGACATTAACGAAGAACAAGCTGTGGGAAGAGCTGTGGCACCAAATTAGCTGTTTGGCACCAACACAGTGAGACTTTGGCCCATCAACTAACATTTCTAAACCTCAGTTTCCTTATCTGTAAAGATAAAGATTATATAATTTACTTAGCAGAACTGCTGTAAGAGTAACTTCTATAAATGCAAGAACACAGTAGCACTCATTATTTGTTAGTTTCCTTTCTGCTTGTAAATTAGTTCCTTTCAAATAAATTCTTACACTGATGTTATATAATAAACAGAAAAAGTCATCATAGAAATATATTATATTTCATGCATATGATGTGTGTTAAAAGAGAACAAACTGCTCACATTCCAATGGACTCTATTACTAGTTAAAATAAATCTGGGTGTCAAAGTGAATGTACCTAATCAATATCTCCATTTATGACCAGCTCGAAGTGAAACTGTAATTTCCCCATTTAGCACCTTGAAATACCCAGTGCTCTGACTCAGCAGCCATTCTCTCCCACAATTAGAGGAAATACAAACTAGACAACACTATGAGGTTATTTAAAGCCACAAATAACTGCATTTTAAAAGGTTGCCTGGAGAGATGGACATGGAAGAGTTCACTATGATGGGAATTCAGTCAGCAAAGATAGTAATTCTTAGTGGAAAATGCCCTTTAAAAAAAGTATTGAGTGCTAATCTGCTTGAGTGTGGCCAGTGCCATGCCAATTCCACTGGGCTAGACTGTCATGATATGTGGTACAAGGTAATGATTTTGGCCCTGCCTCTACTTCAATCAAGTGCATCTCAGAACAACTCATCAGAAAAGGAGTGATTAGTGGGCTTTACTAATGCATCTTTGTTAACGTACTCTGCACATTATATTCCCTACAGGAAATAGCTAGTTCAGATAATAAAAGGGACATGGGAAATTTATGTAACCCAAATATCTTCACCATTAGCAGCTTTGCTGCTTTGGGGACCATTTCAAATTCTAGAAAAATATTTAGTTCTACTTTCCATAGCAAATAAGGGGTAGTATGCATTAACAAGTTAATTATACAACATTAACATATTTTATAGGTAATTCACTCAAAATGGGGATAATCTAATAAATCTAGAAAACATTTAGTAAGCAGAGAGCAAAATATGGTCACAATCTGGTCTCTAAAGAAAAGGCCTCTTCCAAATGGTGTGCCATTACAGCGCGATGTCAGCAACATGGCCGAATAAGCATCCCTTATTCATGTTCCCTCCAACACAATCTGGAATTCATCAAGGACAAAACTGCCTTTGTGAGAAATGTGGGATCCAGTACTCTATGCCAAAAAACCTGGAAGGATTCTTGCCTAACCATGTGTCAGGCAAAAGGCATACAAACCTCAGTCCTGGTGGTGAACCCTGCCAATGGCTCATGACCTGGCTTCATCAAAAAGCTTGCCCATGAACTGCTGGAGACGCCTCACACTTGGTTCCCAATTGGTCCATGGGGACGACCCCCCAGCACTCTGTGTGCCTTAGTCACACCCTGTGTCCTGCTCCCTGTGCATGTTCCCAACTACAGTGGTGAGAGCAAGCTTTAGCAGATGGCCTAGTGGGCTCAACCTGGATCTGCAGGTCAGGGGGAAGCCACAAACTTCAGCTAGTGCCACCCTTGTAAAAGCAAAAGGGAGGCTGTCAGCTTTCACCCTAGTGTATTGCAGGATCAAGAGAAGGCATACAAGCTGAAGAGTTCTGCCACAAGAGGGATCAAGTTTGGAATGGAATAAAAATGGCAGAGTAGGAAGGCAAGGAAGAAACCTTCTTCCACAAATACACCAAGGAAGCAATAAGAGCAAATACAACGAAACCTGAAAATGACCCAAAGACTGCAGAACAGACTACCTACACATGGTGAAAAAAAGAAGACCACACAGAGAAGGGTAAAGTGTTAGAGCATGATCGAGTGGGACCCAAGCCCTTCATCCACCCCAGCACATAGGCAGGAGGAAGATGAATGAAGCCGGAACGGGAAAGACACCCAGGAACTCTGCACACCTGACCCTGCAGATCTGCTCTGGGAGTATGACTCCACACTGCACTGGGTTCTGGAGATTAGTGGGGCTGGACATCAGGGACAGCTGGAACACCCTGGGAGGCTGAGACTCCAGCCATTTGTGGAGAACAGGCATGCTCTCCTGGTCCCACTGAAACACAAATCACAGGTGGCAATTTGAAAGACTTGCCAGCAGTGGGAGGAGTGCTAGAGGGGCGAGGGTTGGATGAGTTCTCTCCACAGGAGAAATTGCAGGTGGACATACCTCCCCAGCCCTCTTTCAGCCCAGCAGGTCAGGCACTCTTGAGAACCCCAGACACTCCAACCCCCTGACTGGTGACTCAGCCCCAAGGGACTTTCCTCGGTTGCCAGCACACCAGCCACCTCGGCCTAGCAGTGCCAGACTTTGCTGCCTGACAGGCAGAGGGAGGCTCTCCCAACTATGTTGGCTCTCGCAGCCCAACCCAGCAGGCGCCTGCAGGAGCCAGCTCCTAGCCCTCCTTCCTTCCCCACAGGTGGACAAGCTAGTGCTACACGCCTTGCCACCACCAGGGGGAGCCCACATAACTTGCTGCTGCAGCTGTGCACCATGTCCCACCCTGTCCCAGAGCCACACAACCACCCTACCCTTGCTTCAGGACATCCCCACCATTTCTGCAGGTAAGGCAGAGGATGGCCCTGCCAACAATGATCCCACTGCTGGCTGAGGCAAACTACCAGCCACAGAGGGCTGAGACCACTTGCAGACAGTAAGGCAGCCTTGCCCATTGCCCACCAACAGCAACTGGAGCTCCACAGCAACAGAGAACCAGGCACTGGGCAGTGAAGACACTTGAGCTTATGGGCACCAAGGAACTCCTTCTTCATAAAGCCATTACTGTTTAGACCAGGAAGCATAGCAAATCCATTTAATACAAAGGAAGAAACACAGAAACACTGACAAAATGAGGAGGCAGAGGAATTTGTTCCAAACAAAACTACAGGATAAGACACTAGAAAGAGAGCTAAATGAAACAAAGATCATCTATCTTCTTGATAAAGATTTCAAAATATAAGCCATAAACATGCTCATGGATTTACAGAAAAATATTCAAGATCTCAGGGAGGATTTCAACAAAGAGAAAGAAAATCTGAAAAGGAAACTCAGAGCCAAAGAATACAGTATCTGAAATGAAACATACAATGGAGGGATTTAGAAGTAGATTATATCATGTAGAGGAGAAGGAAATGAAATGGAAATTGGAGAAAGGAAAACGAACAAGCTGAGGAACAAGAGAAAAAAGTATCTCAAGGAATGAAAGAATTGTAAGAGAGCTATGTGACCAATCTAAATGAAACAAAATTAGCATAATTAGGAGTACCAGAAGGAGAAGAGAAAAAACAAAGGGACAGAAAGACTCTTTAAGGAAATAATTGTTGAAAACTTACCCAATCTGAGAATGAATTAGACACTCAGGTCATGGAAGCCCAAGAGCCCCTAACAAAAGGAACCCCAGGAAGACAACACCAAGACATATAATAATTCAAATGACAAATATTAAGGATAAGGACAGACTACTGAAATCAGCCAGAGAGAGGAAAAAAGATTACTTGTAAGGGAAACCCCATCAGGCTATTAGCAGACTTCTCAGCAGAAATTTTACAGGCCAGAAGGGAGTGGCATAAAATATTTATTGTATTGACACAGAAGGACCAATAATCGTCTACTCAGCAAGACTATCATTCAAATTTGAAACATATTAAGCAACTCCCCGATAAACAAAGACTCAGAGAATTTATAACCAGTAAACCAGCATTACAGGATATGTTAAGGAGCTGCTATAGATGGAAATGTTCCTAAGCCTAATGGTTTTCACCAGTGAAAATAAACCCACAGTCAAGGTAGTAGACCAGTTAATTACCAAGCAAGTACAAAATTAAAACAAAACAAAATCGGTAAAGCCAACTATACACAAA